TATCACTTTAATTCTTGTTGCTTGAAATATGTTTTACCAACTGGCAGAACTAATCTTACTTCACAACTTTTCTTTTTCAACATATTCCTGGCTGTCCTGGTATGCTTAGTTGTCCTTAAGAAGTTTTGAATCAGCTTCTCTTTCTCTTAAAAATCCAGTTGCAATTTCACTGGGATTACTTTACATTGATAGGATAATTTAAGGAGAATTAATATCTTTATCAGTTGATTTTTTCAATTGCTCAAGCCAAAACTTTGGAGTCACTTTTGATGCCTCTAGCTTCCCCACATCCTTCATCTGCTCCATTAGCAGATGTTGTCAGTGGTCCCTTCACTATGCACCCAGACACCGACCGCTTACCACCCACACCCGCCTCCCAGCCCCGCCACGCTGTGGTCATTCCTTACCCACCTTCTCCACAGCTTCCCAACTCATCTCCCTGCCTTCCCTCTTGCTTGTCTATTCTCAATACAGAAGTCAGATCATCACATTCCTCTGCTCAAAACCCTCACTCAGAGTAAGAAACAGACTCAAGCAAAGGGCCAGTGATTGATTATCTGGGGAGCATCCCAGGCAGAGGAAACAGCAGAACAAAGTCCAGCAGGCAGGAGCTGGTGGAGAGTAACGGGGGAGGAGGAACAGACGTGGCAGGAGACGCAGACACAGACCAGGGCCTCAGCCCAGCTCAAGGCGAAAAGCTGGACTAGTTACCTACGTGGGGTGGGACCACGGATGGGGCAGGTATGGCAGGGAAAATGATCTTTTTACATTAAAAGCCTTGTGCAACCACGTGATTTCTAAAACTGTATGTATGACTTGGATAAAAATAAAAACTTAGTAAGAAATCTTAAAACACCGACATATGAAAGAGAAATATAGAAACGGAAAAACTTAACAGATGGTATTTGTCAGCATGCAGTGGGAGTTAAACTCTCTTTTAGCAGATGGATGGACATTCTTATAACCAAAACTGCATGATTTCTCAGTTATCATGAGGATTTTAAACAAAATAACATCCATCAATTTCAAATTTAGTCTGTGAGCTGCCCCTAGAAGGTAAAGAATGCTTAGTGTATCCAGCATTTATCAAGCGAGATGGCAGAGTGACAAATTGTAGATTTAGTGATCTTCAGAAAACAGAAGAACAGAAAAAGGAGGAAAAGGTTTCAACAGTTTTTCTTTCACTTCCATGTTTATAAAAAAAAAAATCATACTATTGGGTAGATTATTTGAAAAAAGTATGATTTTAGGAATACAAAAGACAGTGAAAAAATGTGGAAATAAAAGTGTTTGCTTCCATTTAAATAGCCCAGATATGAGATGAAAATCTCCCCCAGTCACAAGGGTCCAAACCTTGGTATGTTCCTTCACATATGGGATAAATTGCAAGTGACTCAGAATTCCTACTGCCCTCTGTAAAAACAAATTCCTGTCCTCCAGCTTCACCTTGCAGCAAGAGCAGAAAAATGAAGTGCCAGAGCACTTAGGAGGAAAATCTTCAGTCTACGCACAGTAAGGCTCAGCCTCTTGTAACTTTCTAAGTGGACACCCCCCCACATTAAATGAAAACCCTTCCCCTTATCTCTTCCTGTACTCTAAACACTGTCATAATATTAAACTTTCGAGGTTAATTTCTAATCACCTAATTATGAAGCAAAATGCTTTTAATCTGCACCCCCTTCTCTGGACAGTTTTCTCCTTTTCTAAATTGCATTCTTTCTTTTTTTTCTGAGACAGGGTCTTGTTCTGTCGCCCAGGCTACGGCGCAGTGGCATCATCATAGCTCAATGAAATCTCAAACTCCTGGGCTCAAGAAATCCTCCTGCTCACCACCCTACCTGGCTAATTTCCATTTTTTGTAGAGGTGGGGAGAGTAGGGGTCTTGCTCTTGCTCAGGCTGGTCTCGAATTCCTGGCCTCAAGCGACCCTCCCGCCTCCGGCCTCCCAAAGTGCTAGGATTACAGGCATGAGCCACCGTGCTCAGCCTTGCATTCTCTTTTATTAGTAAAAGGAGAAAGAATTGAGCATAAAGATGACAGTTTGTTACTTGAAATATCAAAAATAGTTTCCCAAAAGGCCAAATATTTGTAGATGGCACAGGAAAGGACACATAGAGCTCCAGAAGCTGCAACGCAACATGCAAGGTCACTTAAAACTTCCCAGAGGCCAGCAGTAATGAACGGGAAATGCACAGAGGTGGGAATGTTTCCTGCCTACTTCATCACCACCACTGACCTGTTATTACAGTTCACAAACTAGACTTATACAGGAAACTTAGCAAGCAAATGATTATTCCTCTAGAAATCGTGAGAAAACTGAATTAATTTTTAAATTTTTGGTTCTCATTGGTGAGAAATTATAAAATTATTTATTTATTATTAAATTATTAAAATTATTTATTTATTCAGGGCATTGCCTCTTAAAATGTTCTCAGCTTTTCACCTAAGAAAAAATTATCATGTAAGAGTTTTCATTATTACAAATTTACAAAGTCATTAAAGATCCCGCTCTGAATCAAACCACTGTTCACCTCCTTATGCTGTGCAATGTAGCTTGACTTAACTGGTCTTTAGGAATAATGCAAAACCAATGATAAAAGTCCTTAGGACTTTGAAAGGCACATTTCATGTTTTTAAAAATGAAGTCTTCATAAAACAGTTCCATCTTTTGTATGCTCTGATCAGTGGCTTTCAAACTTTTTTCACCATGGCTCACTTCCATAAATTTTATAGTGACTCAGTACTTATACCTAAACACCCAAAAAACAAGTTTTCACAAGAAACAAAAATACTCTAACAACACGTAGTGCACACTGGTATCTTCCGTTCAATTCTATTCTCTCCCATTCCATTAAGAAAGCTAGTAAAGGCCCTCATTTCCTCACTAATGGATCACAAATTTAAAACACACTCTAGATCACACTTCACTTCCTTATCATTTTATCACATAATTGAAAACACTGAAATTCTGAATCATAAATTGTTGGATAATTCCTCTTGTTCTGTTTTTATTCTGGAATGTTCATTGGTAAAAAAAAAAGTCTCTGTTATTACATAGCATGATTTTTACATTTAATATTTTTAAAGCTACCACAGACAGCCCTCTGGAAACACTGTCCAAATCCTCCTAACTGTTCTCTTTTGAAACACGATGCTAGCCAGACGGGCTGGTGTGCGCATGTAGTCCCAGCTACCTGGGAGGAAAGACAGGAGGATCGCTTGAGCCCAGGAGTTGGAGGCTGCAGTGAGCTATGATTATACCACTCCACTCCAGCCTAGGCAACACAGCCAAGACCCCATCTGTAAAACAAAACAAGGTCTAGGGTTAGGTGTTGAACAACTAATCTAAAATGTTTTGGCCTGTGAAGAAATGATGTTGGATGACTGAGATTCTAATGCCACAATCAAAGAGAGAAAATAGAAAATGTAGGTTTAGTACTGATTTATTTCCACAGGATATTTATGCACTTCAGATTTGCCAAAGTACACTGCAAGTAATACTTGTCTTCACCTCTAACCTTAATTTCAATTATTGTATTTTTCATTTTGAGTTTTATTTTTTTTCAAACCTACTTGATGATTTTTAATAGTTTCTTATTACTTACTCAATTTCCTTTTATTTATTTAAAATACAGAAGTCTGTGTAATATCCATAAATCCTCATGGCTCTTATTCCCCTAAGGTTTTTTCCTGGCAGGTGCTCATGCCTTGCTTGTGTACTGTAGGATTTTTGACTGTGGGTGCACATTCCATGAACTCTGCAGGTGGGACTTTTTTGTAGGTATGGGCTGAAGATGGGTTCTTCCAGAGCAGATTTGTGATTGTTCCTAACAGTTGCCTAGAGACCCTACCCAGTTGGTACTATGGGTACCAAATAATTTAAACTAAAATATTACCTTAGGGTTTTCTGTTTTCTTAGTTACCCATAGGGGTAATTAAGGGATTTGGGCTGAAATCCAAGTGTGAGGTAACTTGTGGGTATACAAATTGTCAGGAGAGTGTGTGTATACACACACATATGCATACTTGTATTTTGCTCCTCCATCCAAAACCAAAGTTCAAGACAGGAACTTTTACTCAGCGCCACCACTGGGAGATGGGTCTCAGCCGCACATATGCTCAGGGTGCATGGGTGTGTGTGGGTGTGAGAGACAAAGACAGACAGACAGACAGACTCTCTACTCTGGGCTGATCTTGGACTTCACCTCTTATCTCTGGGCCTTTGAAGTTGTGAAAACTAAAGCTGCCCATAACCTGCAAGTTCCAACTGTGATCTGATTTTTGAGACTCTGGGTATTCCTTACCTTTTTGTGAGCTTGCCTGAAAAACATTTTTTAATCCAACATTTTGAATAGTTTCTAGTAGAAGGGTACAGCTCGCACCGTAGAAGGGTATGCAGATTTATACAATCAACAACTGTCTCTGAAGTGATTTGAAATAAAATGTGCAGAAAAATCACTGTGTGTAATTCAGACTTTATTGCTTATTAATTATGTCACTCTACACAATTTTAAGTAAACAGATGTTGAGAAAATATACTGAGAGTATTAAACAGTGATGGCAATATCGATGAGACTGTTCAAGTGTTTTATATAAGGTAATTAGAGGCACCACTCCCACCGTCACCCCTAGAAATTCGTACATTTCATATAAAAAGAGTAAAAATAGTTCATTGGCATATAACTAGCATTATTCTTTGTAATCCATGAGCCAAGATAAGCCTGAACAATTTCACAATCTTCAGAGCAAAACATTTTCTTCCACTAGCAGACGTTTCTTAGAAAAATAAGCAGACAAATCAACACAACAATAAAAACTACACATACACAATCCGGTAACGTAAGTTGGTATATTCCAGTGGTCCTGATTTTAACATATTTTGCTCTAAATTAATTCAAAAAATAAAATGATTCAGGTTTTTGAAATGAGATTAAACTCCTTCACTGTAATTATACTTAGACTTTATAATTCAAACAATTTAATCAAAGCCAAAGTTAACCAGTAAAAATCATGGATACAACTCAAACTGCTCTTATGCTAAGATAACTTCTTTAAAAGTTAATTATTCTTTAAAAACTCAGACCCAAAGCTGCACAGGTATACCTTGAGGAACTAACAATCTACCCTTCCAGATACAGCAGTAGTTCTAAGTGTTCTTAAAGCTGGGGAGCACATACAAAATCCCTGTAAACCATAAACATCAGTAACTTTTCTTGGTAAAACTATACCAACAGTTTCTTCTATTAATGATTAAAAAATCAAGCATTGTAACAGTCCAGCATTTGGAAGACTTCCATGTACATTATTAAAAAGATGCTTAGATTGAGAAATATTTTCACACTTGAAAAGACACTCCAAAAAGAAATAAGACTTGAGATGTGGTTTTCTGTTGAACCATTTAAAAGACCTCAGTTATCCAACAACTAAAAACACACAGTAGCAGATAAACAGGAATTTATTAAAATCATTGTTTCCAACAATATAAAAATTAAATATTAAGGCATCTTTCACTTCCATCCTGGTGTATGCATCAAAGGGAAATGTAAATAAGAGCGAGCACTCCTTAATCAAATGCTTTCTAAAGTATTTGGCAGATTTTATATTCTCCTATTTCACATACCATTGAAAGCTCTCATCATCAAACATCTTGACCCAAATCAAGAGAAAAGTATCAATAGGTATCAATTTATTTAAGGGAAGCAGTTCACTCTTGAAAAATAAAAAGGAACTACAAAGAGTATCATGTATAAAGTTCAAATATTGGTATTTAAATTTCTCTGAAGCAATTTACGGTTCCCAGTAATTAAGCGAAAGAAGAGATGAAGACTTTACTTAACATGAGAAGCCTATTAAAACGGATCATGCTATGGAATAACTGTTGAGTCAGTATTCAACTCCACTGGGGTGACAATTTGAAAAGGGCTTCATACTCCTTTAAAAAAATCACATCCGCTAGAGTTAAGATCATATAAATTAACACTGATTATTTTTCCCCATATTTATCCACTTTTAAAGCTCAATAGGCTTCATAAAGTATACTAAACAGTAACATTTTCACCTTTTATTAAGGCAAGTTTGTGAAAATAATTTAATACAACCAGATCTCTTCATGAACTTTCAGCTCACATTTTTAATGTAAGAAACATACAAAAAATTATTTTATAAAAAGCCACCTCAATACCATAAAACAGTAATGAAAGACTGTGAACCCAGTTTACTTTTAAAAGAATGTTCTTTCCTTGTCTCAAATTCCAAGCACTATTCATCATCTTTAGAGCCAGTTTTGCTTAACTACAAAAAAAGAGAAAAGAAATACTCAACAAGTGTAAGTGATCATATTATTTGACTCATTATTTCCATTCAGTATCAAAATTAAACAATAGGCAACAAAGATGAAATAACTTAAACCATCCAGCTATAGCTTTTATCACATGTAGCTACTTTTCAAATTCAGGCTCAGCTATTTCAAACAGGTTTAAAAATATGAACTCAACAAAAATATAACCAAGGGGGAAAAAATCCTTGAAATTTTCAAAGAAATAAACTGGAACCAAGAATATACAAATTAAAGATGCCATTTATAAAATGAATGACATTCTTCTATTTTTTTTGTTTTCTATGACAGACAATAAATGTTTTTAAAAAATTTTAAAATTGTGGTAAAAAATATTTAACATAAGATTTACCATCTTAACCAGATATCAAGTTCTTATAATTTTAAAAATATGATAAAAATATTAAATTACAATTTTTTTCTACGTAAAATCTTTGGCAGGAGTTGGCAAATGGGGGGTGGAGGAGGAGTGTGGATAAAGGTCTCAAACAATGCAAAGGCGATTCTGATCAAAATAGTGCCCCAGCCACTGAGAAACCCCACTGCACCCAATAAATTTCAGAGAATATGCAAAGCTGTGAAAAGCAGAAACTACTACGGGTAGTGGTTTTCAAGCACTTCGGCCCAAGGACCTCTTTACACTATTAAAAAATGAGGATCCTAAGAACGTTTTAATTTTTTTTTTTTTTGAGACAGAGTCTCACTCTGTTGCCTGGGCTAGAGTGCCATGGTGTCAGCCTAGCTCACAGCAACCTCAAACTCCTGGGCTCAAGCGATCCTCCTGCCTCAGCCTCCCAAGTAGCTGGGACTACAGGCATGCACTACCATGCCCGGCTAATTTTTTCTATATATTTTTAGTTGTCCAATTAATTTCTTTCTATTTTTAGTAGAGATGGGGTCTCACTCTTGCTCAGGCTGGTTTCGAACTCCTGAGCTCAAATAATCCGCCTGCCTCGGCCTCCCAGAGTGCTAGGATTACAGACGTGAGCCACCGCGCCCGGCCCGTTTTAATTTTTTTATGTGAGTTTTAACTACTACATTAGAAATTAAAACTGAGAAATTTATGTAAAAATAGCAATACACCCACTATATGATAACACAATTTTATTTTTTAAGGAAAAATAACTATTTTCTAAAATGAAACAATGAGAACAGTGGTGCTGGTCTACATTTTTGCAAATCTCTTTATTATCTAGCTCAGTAGAAGACAGCTGGGTTTTCACGAATCTGCTTCTACAGTAAGGCAGGTATAATGGAAGACAGCTAACAAGAGCACAGCAGAAGTACAGTCTGGGTTAATAATGCACATACTTAGATCCTAAACCTACTAACTTAGAAAATTCTGGAAAACACGAGAATGTACAAACACACATTCTCTTTGTGTTTTAATAGAGTATGAATTATGGCATCATCACACATCATGCAGTCTCTGGAAAATGTCAGAAAAAATTCACGAGAAAATGAATAAAAAAGGCAAACAATTTCTTAGTATTATGATGCTCAGGGACCTCACAGGGGTCCAAAGACCACACTTGGAAACCACTGGCTTAGGGTAACGAATTCTGAGACCAAACTATGTCCAGGTGAAAACCTCCTTTAATACTTTATCACATCTCCCAAGAATACTGCATTTTTTAAATTTGCCTTTTTTTTTTTGGCAGCTTGGAATTCTATTTATATCAACAGGGACTCAGGCCGGGCCTGGTGGCTCACACCTGTAGTCCCAACTACTCGGGAGGCTGAGGCAGGAGGATCACCTGAGCCCAGGAGTTTGAGGTTGCTGTGAGCTAGGCTGATGCCACCTCACTCTAGCCCAGGTGATGTAGCGAGACAGATCAAAAAAACAAAAAAAACCAGGGCTCTCTTAAGAACAAACAAAAACTTCTGGAACTAGGGAAGGAGGAGCACTGTCACCACCTTTACATAAATCCGATTATTTTCTTCTCACTCTCAGCTGAGAGCTGCTGTGCCACAGAAGTCACACTCTGACAGAGAAAACTTAGCTCATCTTAGAGCACAAAGCACTTTTGGGAGGGAAGGGATTTAGCTGGTAGGCTGCATGCAGGCACACCTAGGACACACCAAGTTTCCATCAAGCATCAGCAGAGAGGGCCAGGTAAACGTGAGAATGCCAGAGAAGTTCCACTCATACAGACATCTTGTACAGGCTCAGCCTCCTACCCAGGAAGGAAGAAAAACTGTGTTTCTTTATTCCAACTGCACCTCATGGCTCCCTAATCTCAGGTAATATTTTTGTACTAGATTCTAGAGGCACAAAGATTAAAGAGTTTCTATAGAAAATGCATTCCGCCGGGCGTGGTGGCTCACGCCTGTAATCCTAGCACTCTGGGAGGCTGAGGCGGGCGGATTGATTGAGTTCAGGAGTTCGAGACCAGCCTGGGCAAGAGTGAGACCCCTGTCTCTACTAAAAATAGAAAGAAATTGGCCAAACAACTAAAAAAAATAGAAAAAATTAGCTGGGCATGGTGGCATGTGCCTGTAGTCCCAGCTACCTGGGAGGCTGAGGCAGGAGGATTGCTTGAGCCCAGGAGTTTGAGGTTACTGTGAGCTAGGCTGATGCCATGGCACTCTAGCCCAGGCAACAGAGTGAGACTCTGTCTCAAAAAAAAAAAAAAAAAAAAAGAAAATGCATTCCATGGACCAAACAGCTGACTTTAAAATAAACTTTCAGAATACTCTATTAATTGCCCGTATTTGTGGGTCCCCATTAAGATCCTAATCTTTAACTACCCTTGGATCACGTTATTAATAAACACTTCTCATAGCAGTTGTGGCACTAACTGGCACACAAAACTTATTTCATGAAGTCCTACAAAGAGAATTTACTGTGTTATTCATCAGTTTTGAAACTACACCTAATGCAAGAAAAATGTGAGAGAAGTAAGCAAAAAAATCCCAAATGGAAAGTAAACAATTTTAAACCAAAATGGAAAATCTTTTTTGGCAAGAATGGAAAACTACATTTAAGATCTGTCCTAAAACAAAACAAAAAAACCACAAAAACTTTTAAGAAATTAAAGCATTCCTTTCTATGCCTGGTTTTTTCAGTTTCCATATTATCGATAACTTAGAGCCATATTTAAGCGTGTGCATTCTTAAGATGTACTTACATAAAGAGTCATACTATATGGTAGTTATAACTTCTGTAGATTTTTCATTATTTTTAAAAAAAGAAAGCCTAAAAGAGAAGAATATTAAGGACATTTAAAAAATACTTACATGCTGAATGTAAAAAAGGTAACAGACATCCCAGGAAATTCCAAAGGTTGTGAGGGGGGAAGCAGAAAATACAAATTTCATTATTTGATGGTAATAATTATAACAATTTTAAAGACTGAAATATAAATATTACATACCTTTACAACATCAACCCAGTTCCAACCTCGAGGAAGTTCCCCTTTGTGATCTATAGGATAAAAATTAGCAACTTTATTTCTAAGACCAATCAGCTAGTTTAAAATTAATTATGGCTCTTGTAAATAAGATTCTATATACTATCATATATAACAAATAAATTAAAAATTTAAATCACATATCACTAAGTTGGAAAAATAGTTTATCATTGTAAACTGAAAGCACCACTCTAACCTGGGGGCACTTGCAAAGTATTTTAGGTATATTCCCTTTTTACATTTACAGTACTTCCATTCAAGACAAAACCTGATATCAAGAAAAAAATATGGAGGTGGGTTGGTAATGCCAGGAATAGGAGCTAATCAATTTATTAGTTTTAGGCATTTGCACAATTCTACTATTTTATATAAGGTCACTGCTTATTTAAGTAAGAAGTTCACTGTTTCATGAGTTAGTGTTTCACAAAAGGAAGCTAGGCCTTATAAACAAATGTTTGGATTGGTTTCAAGACTGAGAGGAGGCCTGGCTAATTTATGTATTAGTTGTCGTACTCTGATTCATTATTTAATCTAACATTCTTTAAAAAGGGCTTTAATCTGTTGGGAGTGCTAGAAAACAAGCTCTTAAGAATTTATATAAGAATTTATAGTTTGCAAAGTGCTTTCAATCTTTTAATAGAATACTCAAATTTAAAGAATAGTTTCATAAATAAATACTATTTAAAAATTCTTCAATTTAAAGTGGCTCGATATATGCCATTTAGGTCTCATTTTACGAAACCTTCAAAATTTGCACTCAAACCAAGTACGTTATATGAGTTTTACAGCTGGGGAAACAGAAATTAACCCTATGGTTCTTATAGGCAAGAAACTATATTACTAGAGCTCAATTTTAGATGCTAATGGTTCTTTTTTCTTTCATGCCAATAAGAATCATATCCCACTGGTTACTGGTTATGAGGGGTACAGAGGCAGATCACCAATTTTGGTCAACTAAAACTTACCAACAGTGCCATGATGGTCTCATTAAAGTCTAATTTAGAATGAAAGCTCCAAGTCACAAACTCCTAGACTGTCATTATAGGAAGCTAATGATTTTAGGCGGGTCTCATCAAGGAGATGGAGGTAGGGAGATATTGATGAATGGGAATGATCATAGGTCATTATGTATAAAAGCAACAGGTAACTACCATGGATGCTACATCATTCCAAAAATGAGATTAATCAAAATTCTAGAGAACAGACAATAATGGTTAATGATTTATTGCTTCAGTTGTTTATACTTTAATGCTGCTCTGACATTAGGTATAACGGGTTCCTAGATTTTTTATTTCACAAACCATTACAATTTCAAAAATGTAGTTTGGGGATCAACACAGGATTGCTATCTTTTTATTTTGCCACAAACAGACATTCTACAAAACATAAACCACCAAAAAACTACCATCCCTTTATGAAAGAAAGGGCATTTTAAACTCCCTCACCAAAATAAAAGGGTCAGTTCTTTTCAGTAAAGGGCAGCTACCTTGTACCAGCAGCACACGCATACATAAGTATAAATGTGCACATGCACACGATAATGTCCTCATTTCCCCTAACTGTGAAAAAGTTTACTGACTACCAAGGGCAACACACGTAACCTAATCATCTGTACCACGGGGAGGGCGGCGGGAGGAGGGGGGGAGGAGGGAGGAGG